CCCCGGCCCCGCCCCTGCCCCGCCCCAATTTCATCCTAGGCCGCCCCGCCCAACTCAGCCGGGTCAAGGCCCCACCACGGCCCCGCCCCGCGCTCCAGCCACGCCCCTCGTGGCCAGCCCCATCGGGTTCCAGTCCTGGCTCTCCGCACCGCTGCTCAGCCCACACGTCGAAAGCGACCACCCGGTCCTCAGCTTTGGACAGTACACGCCCCGCCCCTCCCGCTCCTTGCCCCTCAGCGCAGATCCAGGCTCCGCCCACCTACCCCCACTACTGAGCTCCCGCGGGCCCTTGCCCTCACCCCGGGGATTGGCTCCCTCGAGCGTCGCCCCTCCACACCTCAGTACCTCCCGGCCCTTTCTAACGTAGCACCGCCCCTCTGGGGGCCGCCCTTCCCTGGGTCCCGCCCACGGGCACGGCCCCGCCTTCTCGCTCCAAAGCCCCTAGGCCGTGCCGGCCCGCTCCCTCCCCCGCCCTCCTCAACCCTGCCCCAGACCCGGCTCCGCTCACAGCCCCGCCCGGCCCCGCCCACGCCGGTGTCCCCGCCCACCCCGCCTCACCGCCGCGGGCGCCCGGGCAGGCTCTGCCCGCCGGTACAATGCTCGCACTCGAGGCTAAACAGGTGTTCCTACAGTACCGTCTGCGTTGGCTCGCGGATCTCCCCATCCTTCAAGAGGAGATGCTGCTGTCTCCCGGCGGCCCTTCGTGGCGCCTGATGCAGGGAAGGCTGGAGATTTGCAGGCTACGAGTCGCTGGTTCAAGTCTAGATTTCGTCACTTTCCAGCTGTGTGACAACTACCACATCCCACCATCCTCACCTCTCCCCAAGTCAGATGCGTGCGGCTCAGAGCACTGCACTGTGGCTGAAGGAAGCGATCCCATGTGGGTAGAGCTGGGGGCCACTGTGCCATCTAAATCCTGAGGAGGAGGAGGTGAGCTAGGGCCCCGGAGCAAGCGGGGCTTGTCGTGGCTAGCGAGGTGTGGAACTGGAACTGGGATGGTGGAGCAGAGCCTGAGCAGTGTGTATGTGAGCCTGTGCTTGGAGAATGGGCCACTACAGCTTTGGAAAGCACTGGCTGGGAAATTGAGGCAGGCAGGGCCAGAGGCTCCCATGACCCACTTGGATCATGTCACTCCCTGGCGCACACCCCCTCAGTGACTTCCACGTGCTTTCCTGGTAAGGCCTAGACTCCTTTGCTACTGCACATCCTAGCAGAGAAGCCAGTCTGGAGAGAGAATGAAAGAGAGAAAGATGTAGGGGGCTTTCCATTTCTCCTTCCAGCCCCTTGAGACTCCTCCTGGGTCCTCCCCTCAGGTTTCCATGAGACAAACCCCCTTTTCTCTTAAGCAAGCTAGAGTGAGTTTCTGGTTTTGCCCAGCATCACAAACTCCCCCCAACATATCTTTTCAGATGTGGATCCCATTACTCCCCCAAATTCTTTCCTCAGTGAGACTGAGTTGCCTGCTTTCCCAGCCTCATCCTGCTCCTTCTCCTTTCTGCCTCCTTGCCTCTCCCTCCCTCCATGAGTTCAGACATCTCTGAATCTCCAATGCTCCTGCCCCTCTAAAGCCTTCCCAGATCCCCCACTTCCTTCCCTGAGTGCCCACTGCTCCAACTCTGTCCCTTACTGAGGGCACTGCTCCTATATGTCATTTACGTTCTAGTAACCTCTTAGCTGGGCGCTGAGCGCCCCACACCTCCTTCATGTCTGTGTCTGGCACAGCAGCTGTTTGTTAAGTGAATGCACATGACTTTAATAAATTGAGCAATATTCATTGGAAAACACATTTAATTTCAAAGTAAACAAATGTTTGTACATTAAAGTATTTAATTAGCGAAACAATTATTATCAGTGTAACAAGCTGAAAAATACAGCAACTTGATACAAGACTGAGGTAACAAAATACTTCACCAAAAATCTAAAGAATCCCACAGAGGGCTGATGTTCAGTGGTTATTGCGGGTGAGACAATTCACGAGAATTAGAGAAGGTCCTTATACAATGGCATGCAGGGGGTCTGCTGGAAAAAAAGACAGCCCAGGAGAGTGCAACAGATTTAACAAGAAACGAATTAAAATGTAGAAACTGATTTTCAACTTACTTTGAAGAATACATAAGAAATTGAAACTACTCTCTACGCAACATTTTGAATGCTAAGTGGAAAACCATGCATTTTGGCACAAAATTTATCAAAGATAATACCATACTAAGAAATTAATTTCTATTGTTTCATTACTGAATGATCACAGTCGTTCAGAAATGGATAAACAGATTAACGGTTATAGAAGGACAGATGATCCATCGCATTGCTGCTGCGAGCTGGGATTTCGGAGCTGTCCATGGCGCACACACACTTGTGCAGCAGAGGGCTGCGAGGTGGTCCATGGTACAAGTTCTCAACACCCACGAAATGCAGCTCTTGCTCATGCTGTACTTGCACTGACCATTGAAATTAAAACCAAAAACCTCGGAAGTAAATACTGTGGACATTCTGACCCTACTGTCTCATCCCACCTCGGACTCCTCGATGTGCCCAACCATAGCTCTGCGCCTGGCTGTTCTGCGCCATCCAGCCTCTACGACAGTGACTCCATCTAGTCCTCACTGCAACTGAACTCACTGATCAAGAGGCTGTTCAGTCTGTGGAGTCTTTGGAGCCTTTCTGGAGGAATGTGCATAGGGTTTGTACCCAGTGCCAGGGGAGAGGCAGGGGCTTGCCAGCAGAGAAGGCGTGGTGAAAATTATTTGTTCGTTGAGTGGTCAGCTCCACGAGGGCAGGGTTCGGGTCTGTCTTGTTCTCAGCCATTTATATCCCCGGTAGAGTGTGGTACACAGGAAGCACTCACTGGAGATGTGGATGAACGAATGAATGGGTGGTTTTGTGCAGGGAATCTATTTCAAAAGGACTCTTGTAGTTTTTTTCTTTTTTAAACATGAAATCGCCCAGCCTGTCAGTATGATGTGGGGCTGATAAAAGTCATTTATGAAGTCACAAAAACTAAGTTAGGTTGTGACATTAGCAATGTTCACCTGGTTATAAGCATCAGTGATGTGGGTGCAGAGTTCTAGACTCCACTGGTGGAAGGAAAGCAGACGCTGCTTGTGAACGGCTTTCCATTTTCATGGACCATTTTCCACCTGTAAGATGGCATCCTAAAAGATACACCTCTTGGGCTTGGGAGGTGAGAGGAAGATGATGAAAGAAATAGCCATCTTGGTAAGAAAAACAATGCTTTATAAATTTAGTTGGCAAGAGAGAGCAGGTTCTTTCCTAGGCAGAATCCCTTCAAGTATCTTCCTCTTTAGGTTCCACAAGGGGACAGAGTGATGAGTGGGCTTCCTCAGGGAGGGAAGGGAGGCCACATTCTCTCACTGGGCACACTCAGAACAATATTTCTACTGCTCTGCACCAAATCACTCCACGAAGAATTTCAGTTGTCAGAATGCACTCGGCTGGCCTTGAGTTACAAAACATGTTCAACTAAGAGGGGCAAAAATTACTTCCAGGGAGAGGTGAGTGAGCTGTTCTTGGGGCATCAAAATGATACTGGCTACCTACTCCACAGTTTGTAAACAGCATTCTCTAATTTTCATTCTGGGGTGCCATGATCTGTTTGCTTAAAAAAAAAAAAGATACAGCATACGCATGCAGGACATATCACCTTGAATGGTTTCACAAACATTTGTGCATTACAGGTAGTCAAGGAGCAAAACCCAGAAATGCTTCCCATCACGCGAGAATTCACCGTTGGGGTTTGCGTCTGGCCCCGCTCTGACCCAGGCTTGAGAGTCTCATCACCTGCAGGTTGAGGGACAAACCAACGCTAGAAAGGCAGTCAGCACTTAACTCACATGCTTGGCCCTGGGCCCATGGGGGGGAGCGAGTGTCCTTCAGCCTTGTCTGCAGGACTCTCCTGGTATGTTCAAGGTTCTTACCAGTTCTACAAGGCCTTTGCCAACAAGATCTAAACAGATTCTGCAAGAGTCCAAGCTAAGAATGTTTCTGCGACGGGATGTGGGATCAGCCTCAATTAGCGAGAAGACTAAACACTTTAACAAGAATTGCGATTGTGCTATTTTGAAATTAGGCTCAGAAGAAAACATTTGTGAAAAATAAGAAAAAATTGTTAAGGGCAGGAAATTATCTGATTTAGCGGAGCCTGAAATTCTGAGGTTTTTGGATTGGCATCTATAATATCTCATGTGAGAAAAACCAGGACAGTTTGAAGAGTGGAGAAACCCAAAGAAAATAAGTAGCTGATGGTCCAGTCTCATACTTTCATCCAAACTTAAGACTTCAAAAAAATGAACAGGTAGAATCAGATTCAATGTAGGTTAAAGTGTTAACACTGCACAGTTCTGGGAGAGGTGTTGAGAGTGTCTGGTGTTTTCACTCCACCTCTTTGGATGGTCGTGGGTATGAATTCGATGCCTGCATCCAGACCCCGGCCGTGGGTGGGTGTGTGAAGCTCCTGTGGCCAAGGTGTGCTGGCATCAGCGTTTCTACCTGGAGTTTCTCCTGGCACGAAAGTATTCTAGACTTTGCTCCAAAGGAGGGTCCGTTACTGAGCACAGTATGGCTCGACCACAAAATAAGACCCTGATGACAACTACTTTCCTCACCATTTCATTCAAATTTTCAGAAAAGTTGTCACCGTTTGATCGAAATACAGTGACGGGTCCTTTAGTAGTTTTTAAATTGGCCTATTACAGTTTTCTGGTTAAGATGCTGTTTTAAAGCACCTTGCCCAGAAACTCTTAAGGGTAGTTTGATGTCTGATCAGTATGAGCTCTGAAACCACAACAGCGACAGGGACCCAGAAATTCAGTCTCTTTCAGAAAACTACTGAAGGGTTTCCTTCTCAGAATGAGGACACCCAGACTAGAGAGAGAGAGAGAGTGAGAGAAGCTGTGGCAATAAAGCTACCATAAATAAAGCTAATTTTTATTCATCATTGTGAATAAAAATCTATTTGTGCAAAATAAAAGTCATTTAAGAGTGTGACAGATGAAGGACATCGTTCATGTAGAGAGCTCTTAACTGGATGCAGAGCTTGGAACGTTCACTCCCCAGGGCTTTGCTCTCTTGTCACCTTGGTCATCAACAATTGTGCCCTTGGACTTGGATGATGGAGAACTTGCTGGTGACTGTGTTTGGGGGCAAGATTCGGGGAGCTTAAGGCCTCAGTGTCACTCAGCTCCCCAGTGTAATTAGGAATCCCGCTGGGCCCCACCCTGGCAGTGGAGGCAAAGGGGTGAGATGATGGGGGCAAAAGCCTTGCCCTGCGGGGAGAGGTTGATGCAAAGCAGCTTCTGTGCAGCCATTCACTGTGAGCATGGCAGCCTCTGAGCTGCTTCTGAGAAGCTGGGAGAAGGTGTCACAAGTTCCCCTTCTGGCATGGTGGGAGGGAGTGAGAAGAGAAGAGCCTTCAGACCCCGAGGGAGAGGGGATGGGAGGAAGCAAGCAGGCCAGCGGCCCAGTCCACGGTCCTGAAGCCAGCTCCTGTCTCAGAAGAGCAGACAGCAACGAGGCCTGGAAGGGACCCGGGGGCCCAGGGAGCAGGGCTTCCAGATGAATAGCACCCATAGGAACAGAAAACAAGACACAATTTAAGGCATTGTTGTTTACAGTAAAAGAATGCAAGGGACCCTTAACACAGGAGGAATCTGGGCTCTCACTCTGACCTTCCTCGGTGGACAAGGCTGTCACTCAAGGTTAAAGCAGGGCCTCAAAGCGAAGGAAGTGTGTGATGTCACAAGTCTTGTGCCAAAATGCATGTTTCTCGAAGAGTTCACACTCGCTCACACGCACACGTATACGGCACGCACACATAGAGGACGCTTCGGGGGTTGTACAAAATCTGAGGCAGCCCTGTGGGTGAGCAACCCCATGCACTTGGGGTGTAAAAAGCCAGTTCCACAGCCTGTTCCTTCTCTCCGGCCCCTCAACGCAGGTTAATACTGTCCACTCTTTTATGCAGGAGAAAGCACTGGGACCCAACGTGGGCCGAATGCTCTCTAGTCGCAGCAGCAGCTGGTGGACGGACGAGGGCCCAGAGAGGGAGGACTGGGTGTACAGTTTGGGGTCCAACCACGGCCCGGCGGGGTGGCGCTGCAGAATGAGTGTCATGAGAGTCGCTGGGGATTGGCAGGTGGATCTGGCACTGGCGGAGCCCTCTGGACTGTGAGGCCACAGGCCGGGTACCCTTGAGTCCAGCTGTGAGTCTCCCAACAGCCTGTGCCCAGCACATGTGCTTCACCACCAGTCCCAGGCCGGGCTCCCAGAAGCCTCTGAAGTCACTCCAAGTCCTGCAGAGACTTACTCAAATGACATAAGGTTTGCAGGTACCTAGAAGAGAAAGCTCAGCCTCTTGTCAAAGTTCCAACCTCTCAGAAAGGGGCAAGGGCTGGTCCCTAAGGGAAGGGACCAGGCCGTGCCCAGTTGGTCTGTGAATGAGCAGGTCAGGTGGGGAGAAGACACAGCGATAATAACAACCATCATTTGTTAAGTGACCGCTGTGCACCAGACACTGCTCTGAATACTCCATATGCACTGTGACTTCAAAGCGTCAAAACAACCCCATGAGGAAGGTACTAGAAGGATCCCCATTATAAAGATGAAGAAACTGAGGCTTAGAGAGGAGAAGTACACAGCAAGTAAGTGGCAGGGCTAAGACACCAGAGCCAATGCCCTCAACCGCTATCCTTGGATCAAAATAAAACTGCACTTGGAGTGGAGAGAAGACAAATCCTGCAGGAATTGGCATATGCCTCCAGAAGGAAAACCAGCGGGAGAGGGGTGGGTGGTTAGGGCAGGCAGGAATTGGCAAGTGGAAGCACAAGGAGAAGGAGGAAGTTTGCAGATATTGGGAACCCTAAGACCTTCCCAAAGCTGTGTCCCCAGGACAAGATCCCAGCTTCCTCTACTGGGGGGACCACTAGCTCAAGTTCAGGGTCTTCCCCTCCCCCCCACAAGCTGCTAACATGCCCCCAGCCCCAGGCCTCCTCCCCCAGCACTGCCGTGGGGTTCCAGGAGATTTGATGAGAAGCAATTTCATCAAAAACAAATCCAAATTGGTATCAATTTGGTCAAAGTGATGAACTGGAAAAAAATGCATCCCCTTGCACCAGGAGACAGTTATAAGAATGGTCACAGCAGCATTGTTCAAGATAGCAAAAAGCAGGAAATCATTTTTGGAATGACAGAAGAAGTGATAAAAAAAATCAGTACAAATAAATGAATGACAGCTACACACACTGACACAGATGAATCTTAGGAACACGCTGTAGGAAAAAAGCAAGTCACAGAAGAAAATGTACAGTTATGGTTCTATTTATAAAAAAAAAGTTTTAAAAAATGTACCCCAGACAATACATTAAGGAAGGGATGGAGAAGGACGGAATTGGGAAGAGGCCCTGGGGCAGGGAGCAGTTCCGAGGCCCTGGGTGGTCCTGCCGTTAGGCTGGGCGGTGGGCACCGGGTGTTTGTTTTATTGCTGTGGTTTACACCTTACACATATGTTATAAATAAGGTTTAAGTGTATTCAGTGTTAGTACAAACAATTTTAAGAGATGCAGTTCCACAAAAAAGGAAACTAATTAGCCACTGAGGTTTCCCAGGAGAGCAGATGCACTTCCGTAAAACCCTTCATTGCGCCCTCCTGGCACACCATTGCATGGACGAACTGTGCTTTATTGAAATAACCCTCTGCTGTGGAATATTTGGTTGTTGCCAACTTTTTATGATTATATACAGCACAGAGTGGGAGTATTTGGTAGAAAGTAAATTAAAGATAAAAGGGGAAAAAAGTAGAAGAAATAAAAGATCCCCCTCCCCTAGGTCTAAAAATTGGACACACACTTACAAGTTGCCCAACCTTGCCATGGCACACGACACTTGCCATACCTGAAATCCCATCCATTCGTCCTTCCGACCAAACACCTGCTCTGCCAAATGAGTTTGACCCAGTTCCCGGCTACCTGCTGTGGGGCTGCTGCCACCCTCGGGCTGCTGCCCCAGAGAGGGACAACAGGCTCTTGCTCGGGGCAACCATCGCCACTCCCAGCTGGGGCCACCACAGTGCCAAGGGGCAGACACCAAGGCCCCCTTTCTCTCCTCTCCTCCGCTATCCTGGCGGCCCACCTCAGGGCTGTCAGTCCCCGTCAGACCTGGAGCCACCCCAGCCTCCTGCTCACAGGTCATGGGGCCACCTGTGTGTGGCAGGTGAGCCCCAGTGCTCCGTGCTCTGCGAGTGGCTAATGAGGGGCTCCACACACGCACGGTGGGACCAGTTCAGAGGAGGTCAGGACGCTCTTCCTCTCTTAATGTGACTGAGGCAGCACCAGCCTTTTTCAAGCCTCAATACCGTGTTCACTTTGCATCACCTTAGGGTGACTGTTGACCAAATCCCCGAGTCTTCCCATCGTGAAGGGCAATTACATTTGTTTAATATGAAAAATATATGTAAGCACTCTAGAAACCACAGGATTATAGGTTCTCATACATCATTTTAGAAATTTCATATGCACAAACACACATATAACAAATATGCATAGGTACTTTAATACAAATGAGATCGTCTTTAGACATGTTTTCACACTCTGCCTTTTTACTTATATCTTGGAGCTCCTTCTAGGTGACCACACACAGATCTGCCTCAGTCTTTCTCATTGCTCTCAGGTGTTGCACGATAGGGACTTGCTAAGGGTCACCGAGGTTTCCAGGTTTTTTTTTTTCTATCAAGGACAATGCTGCAGTGAACATTGCTAACCACACACCCTTGTGTGCACATGTGAGCACAGCTCTCAGATGAATTCTTAGCAGGCGGAGAGGTGAGGTGAGGGACTCAAATGCAATTTATTTTGAGCTTCCCTGTAGTGCCTCAAGTTTATCCCCGTATCAGTCTTGTCCTACTGTTTTAGTTTGTTGAAGACTTTCTGCTAATTCTACTTCCTAGCTTCTTGTTATCTATAATTTGATCAGCTTGTCATATATGTCCTCATCTACGTTACAGATGAAAATCCTGAATAGGACCAAACTGAGCACAGAAACATGGACCCAAATGCCTGGTGTGAACTTGCCTTTGCTGAGGTCCCCTCAGACCTCGGAGCTGCTGCCTGCCAGCTGCTACCCACCCTTCCTCCTCGGAGCCACCCCCACCTATGCCAAGGCCTGGTGTTCACGCCCCAGACCGAGGAGAGGGACCCAGCTCCCCAGCTCCCTCGTCTGGCTGATCCCTGGGGAACAGAGACAGGAGGCTTCGGGACAGGAGCACCAATCCTGGCACCAGCAGCCCAAATGCTGCCCCTGTCTGGTGCTGAGGGCCGGGCAGTCATTCCTCTCACCAGCCTGGACAGCCGAGGCTGTGCTGCCAGGCCTTTAGCTCAACTGCAGGAGGCTGAGCAAGCTGGGGCTCCCCGGGAAGTGCGGGGAGGGAGAGCAGGTACAGACTTCGGGATCAGGCAGACCTGCATCAGATCTCACTAACGGTGGGACCTTAAACAAGCGTCTGCCACTTTCTGAGCCTCAGTGTCTTCAGTGTAAAATAGAGACAGTAAGAGAACCTTCATCACAGGGATATTGGGATGAGTCAGGCAATTCCTGTGTGTAAAGCATTTCACATAATGCCTGGTCCTGGACGGGGTGGGCGTGGCGGGGACAGGGCCGAGCCGCGAGCCAGGCCCAGCAGACCAGAGGTCCTGCTGACTCAAACATGCTGAGAGGCCAAGAGCCCCACTCATCAGCAGCCATGGTGGGCTCTCAATAAATTAGCCATTATTATTATTGCTCAGGGTTGGGGGGCAGGGGGACCCTTTAGTCACTTTGGAGTATTCCCATGAATCAACTTTTGGGGGGATGATCCAAATAGATGCTATAGCCTTACCCTTGGGGCAATAACGCACCTGCCACCTAACTGTCCCAGTTGGATGTTTCTATGGCGTCTCTTTTAATGGGAAAGACACAGGGACCAGACTCAGGGTTCTGGTCTGAAGTTCTAAGCTGAGCAGGGGGTGCCCTGTCTCATGGGAAAAGGCTGATCAAACAAGGAGGCCTGAGCCTAGCTGACAGGCTCTGAGGGAGGGGGGAGCCCTGTTTTGTACGGACCCTTAGTCCTCAGGAAAGGAGAGGGATTTCAGGTGACAAGCAGTGTTTTGGTGACTTTACCTGAGGCCTGTTGCTTTTACATGCGTCATCCAAATGCTTGTGCCACAGTATTGCATGAAACCGGGAGCCAGTCTGGAACTTGTAAACATTGCCTGACGGGTAGAAAAACCACTGGTTAAGAAGAAGCTCCCATGGGAGGGTCTGCCTGTGACTGCAGCATGAAGATAAACGGGAACATGGGTAACTACATGAAGGAAGGTCGGGGCAGCCCAAAGCAACCTTGGGGCTTGCAGAGGAGGAGCCCCCTGTGCTCCCAGGCTGTCTCTTTGGACCAGGGCTCTGAACCATTTTTTGAACCATGGTGCCTTTGGCTCTGGCGAAGCCTGTGGACTCTTCTCAGAATAATGTTTTCAAATGCATAAAATAAAATACAAAGGAAATCGATAATACTGAAATACAGTTATCAAACTACTAAAAAACAAATGAGTGATGTCGTTCTACACGTGCTTTTTATTACTGCACTAATAACAAGATCTAGGGGCAGGTCTGATACTGTACTGTAATTTCCAAGAGATGAGCACGAATGATATTCTGAGATATCTGCAACAATACGTGATACGAACATATATGCAGCGTCTCTCGGAGATAAAACTACAGATATTGCGAGCATTCTAGCATTTTAATACTCATAATTAAAGGAGTTAGAGTTCACGGAAAACAAAGACATAATTTTTTCCCCACCCAAGTTCATAGACCGTTGAATTCTATCCACAGACCCTGGTCACCCACTGTGTCACATTTCCCTCTGCCTGGGGACAGTGCTTTCCTCTAGACTAAGGCCCAAGAGTGGCCTGTGGTCCCCATGGCCATAAAGTCTTTAAGTCAAGCTTGTGTAGACATGCCCTTTTCTTCCTAAAGAAACCACCTCGAATCCGGGCCCATAGCCTCAAGGAAGAAACTCAAATGGTGACCAGACTGAGGACACATCATGACGTGTGTGGCTGTCCTTGGCTTCAGTCACTCAGACGCAGAGCAGAGAACGTGGCTCCTCTCCTCTCCATTCCCTGGGCTCCTCGAGGTTCCTGTTTCTTCACTTCCCAGCAAACAACGTTAGAGCCCTGACACTCAAGGTGCGGTCTCTCGACCAGCAACAGTATCTGTTACCCAGGAGCTTGTTAAAAATGCAGAATCTTGGTCTCCACTCCAGATGTATTGAATTCAAAGCTGAATATTAACAAGATCCGCAGGTGATTTGTAAATACATGAACCCTGAACTAGAATGTTCCTGTGAAGGTGTGAAGATCCTTAGAGACTTGACAGCCCCACTGAGTTTGCCTGGCTAGAACCCAAGACCCAGGCAACTGGGCGGTTTTGTCATGCGACATGGGCTACCAAGGAGACTAGCATAGCCTATTCTGAATGTCAATGCAGACAGGCCTCTGGTCAAGATGGCACTCAGAACTTCTTCTTCCCAGTACGGTCATGGGGGAAGGACCGAACCAGGAGGAACTGGCAGACGACTGGGCAAGTTAAAGTTGGAGTTTTTGTACAAGGGTTCTTCTCTGATTGGGCCTTGGACCAGGACACTGCCAGAGTCTCAGGGCACAGATAATGTTAGGGGCATCCCTGAAATCTCCCAAGACTCCGAGACCCCTCAGCCACATGGTCTCTGCCTCATCCCTCATTAGGTTATTCATTCCCAGACCCTGAGGCTGCAGCTGCAGGGCTGATGGGCCACAGCAGCTGTAGGTGAGGCCACAGAAAGAACTCCTGCAGCCACGTTCCATGCACACCTCTCGGTGGACACACCAACCAGGATCTAAGCAGCTTTTCTGGATCACTGAGGGGGCCCTGTGAACATCAGAACCTAAAGCAAAGGGAAAGCAGCAGCCTCAGAAGTTCCTACTCTTTCAAAATGCACATTCAGCAGAAGAGGAAATGGAGTTGAGAGAAACCGCAGCCCCCAGCTCCCAGCCTGCTGCCTACCTTTGTCGGGGTTATTCAGCTGGAAGATATCCGGATGCTCGGGGTCGTCAGGCAGCTGCACCATCCAGCCCACGATGGAGACCTTTTTCCCCGGTGTGGATTTATACTGGAGAAGAACAGCAGCACAGCTGGGAGGCCCGTGCCCTCCAGGCCCCACCGCCTTCCCCACCCCCACGCACTCCCCTGCCGTCCACACCAGACGAAGTCTCAGCACCCACTCCTTTCAGGGGCTTACATGTTTTCGGTCTGTGCCCCGCAAGGACTTGGCTCCGTAGTACAGGAGGGTGGATCCTGAGAGTATGACCCAGTACCTGGTCCACGAGGACAGCTACAGAGGAAGGGGAGGCAAAGTGACAACGCTGCATATGGTGGGGGTGCCTGGTTACAGACCCAGCCGCGAGGATGGAAGGGTGCCCCCTGCTTCTGATCAGTGCCAGTATAGACTTCATCCCCTCCCCAGCCTCCACCTCCCTTCTCAGTGCCCCCTCCACCCAGGACTGAGTGGAGGGAGACTCTTCCAACAGTGCCTCTGAGCTCGTCAGCCCCAGCCCTGCCGCCCCTCTCCGCTCCTGTGCTCAGAGAACCTTTCCCTTGTCCACCTTGTCCAGGGCAGTGCCAAGGCCCAACTGCTATGTGTTCAGGTGACCTGGACCCAAGAATGTTCTGGGAAGAAACATTTTTAAAACATGGACATGCTAAACCACAGCCTAGAAGAACCATAATGTCTGCTGTGGGGTGCTCCGGCTGAGACTGAATGGCAAGGCTTTTGAAGCGTTTATGGCTAGAAGTGGGAACACCCGACAGGGCCAAGCTGCAGGCATGGTTTCAGTTTCTCTGGGCGTGAAGGCTGCAATTCCCTGTTCGGGGGCTCTGCTCCTAGGTTTGGGGAAAATCACTTCAGTGGGCCTTTTGGTTCTCCAGGAAGGAAGAGGGCTGAGCGCACAGGAGCAGACTGCTCTGCATCACAACCTACAAGGCCCCCTCTCTGCACTGGGTGGGGCTGCGTCGCCAGGTGTGGTGAAAGCCGCGGCTTTCAGACCTTTCTGATGACACCCATAGGTGTGTACGACACACATGCAACTGTATGTGGAACTGGAAGAAGCTTCAGGAAACAATACCTACCTTTACTGTGTGGAAGGAACTCCGACATTTTCCAGTCTATCCTATTCTACTCAAAAATACGGGTCACGACCCACTGAATTGATTTCACTCCTCTCTGTTGGCCAACCAGCATTTGAGAAAACCCTACTTTTAGGATACTGTCTCACTCTGGCCTCAGACTCACTGGGGCCTGGACTCTGGATGCAGGAGAGAGGCAGGCAGGTCTGTACAACAGGCCAGATATAGGGACCCATGTCACAGGATGCTTTGGGACACTCTGGGCCCAAGGGACAGAGTGTGGCCCAGGGCTGCAGTGAAGACTTTTCTCCTCACCCACAAACCACCTGGCACCTGGGCTAGGGTGCTGGCATCTTCATGGTGGGCGTTAGTTGGAGGGGCATCTCCAAGTGGCTCTGTGGGCAGTGGATGGGGCAGGGCGGGGCCAGCACAGGAGAGGAAGGGCAGAGCAGACAAGCAGATGCTGCCCAGAGACGCAGCTCACAGGCGGGTTTGCGGGCAGCTTGCCAAGGATGCTCCGTGGAAATCACAGAGTCTTGGCAAGGGGCTGAGGCCCTGCCATGGGTGGGGGTCGTGGAGCCAGTGACATCTGGGGCCAGCACAGGTGACCCGGGGACTAGTGGTGGAGCCTGAACGTCCTCTGGACTCCTTGTCCCTGTCCTTCCCACCACTCGTTTCATGAGGCTCCCGGGGAGAGAGGGGGAATCTGCATCCGGGAATACCACACAGGCTGACCGTCTCAGGGGTGGTATCCACCCTAACTCCCAGGGTCTCCAGGCTTCCACTTGCCCTCAGGATAATCGCACAACCCCTGTTTACCGCATGCTCACTGTGTGCACTGCTGCACACGTGCCACTCTTGCCAAGTCCTCTAGGACACAGGCACTATTTTATCCCAATCACAGATGTGGAAACTGAGGCCCTTGCCCACCCAGTGGCACAGCCAGGGCTGGAACTCTGGTTGGCTGGTCTCTGGAGCCCAGGCCCCTCACTGCTGCCTGTGCTGCCTCTGGACGGAAGTGTGTCTGCACTTACCGCGGGCTTCCGTCCTTCCTTGAGCAGAGTCTTCCTTCTCAGAGGCCCCTCCATGGTGGGCACTGCTGCTGAGTTCCCCAGCGTACAGATGCATGGGCCAGTGGGGCTGAGGGGAGACCACCAGTCAGCCACTGCCCTGGAGGAGCTGAGGTCAGGCACCCTCTCACTCTCTGGGGCCCACGAGTCCCCCACTGCCAAGTCCACGATGCTGTCACAGGGCAGAGGACTCAATAGTGCTGGGGCAAGGCCAGGGAGGGGAGGGCCCGAGGCCACAGAGAGCATGAAGCATGGTGGCCCTGGGCTCACCCACAGCTGAGAACTTTCACCTCCCTCGTCTTTCTGAGCACCGCAAAGCTCTAGGCTTGGTGACCAAGTTCCCTGTAACTCAGGACCCTGGCAGCACCCCTACCCTATCCTGACCTCTGCGGTGGCTTCCTCCTGGCCGCTCCCCTGGGGTGCCACCTGTGGGCTTCCTCTCCACCTGGGGAGCTTGGGGCCCGGGCAGCCCCTTCTTCTTGTGTTGGCAGGAGGCTTGGAGGAGCAGCGAGGAAGTGGGAGAGGTGGGGTGGAGTGAGAAGGGGGACAGGGTCCCACACACTGCTACGCCCTGCACCTTTTCCTCAGGGCTCCTCCCTCACCGTCTGCCATGGGGATTCAGGCGCCACCTACAGGTGAAGATGTCCAAGTGCAGCACCAGCCCAGCCCTCTCCCAAGCTTCAGCCCTGCTCGCAGGAGCTTCGGCTCACTGGAGCCCGTGCGCACTGGACAGGCACCTCCCTCAACCTGGGGGCGCCTGTCCCTCAAGAAGGTCTTCCTCCACATCCCCGTGAACAGCACCGCATCCTCCTGGCTGCTTGAGCCAGAACCCTGGGAGTTTTCTTCTCTTACCCCTCTACCCCTGCAACTTAATCAATCCCAAGGATGCATTGATCCTATGTCCTAAATACACCTGAGTGTCCATTGCAGCCATCCCGTTCCCCGCACCTTAGGCCAGAACTTGATCTTCCTTTGAACAACTGCCTGATGCTCTCCCCGGGCCTTCCTGCATCCACTCTTGTCTTCCTCAAGTGCGCTCTCCACACCGCGGCCAGGATGACCTGAGCATGCCACCGTCCTCCCCCCACCCCCCACCCCCCCCCCACCCCTGGCTGAACATGGCTCCCTCCCACCTCTCCAGCCTCATCTCGTGCCCTTCTCCCCCATCTCATTTCCTGCAACACTGCCTTTCCTTCACTCAAGGAATCATCTGCTCTTCCTGCCTCAGGGCCCTGCGGGCTGTCCCTGCGGCTGGAGCACTCCTATGACCTGTATGGCTTCCCTCCCTCGATTTGGTTAGTTCCTATCACTCTTCCAGCCTTTTCTCCAGGGAAGCCTTCCCTGCTCTCCCCTCCCAGGGCATGCCCATGGGCGCCTGTGACTTTCTGTTCCATTTCTGTCTCTCCTATAGCAGCAGCCTCACGGACTGAGGCAGAGGCTGTGTCTGCCTCGTCTGCAACCTCTAGCACAGTGCTTGGCATCCAACAAGCACCCTATAGCCATTTGTTGAATGACTGAACACACGACCAAAGAATACCTGTAGACGCAGCTCCGGGTCCTGGGAGAATTCCGAACTGGAACCCGCCAGTTGGGCCCCAGCGTGGCATAGAGGCGCCCCCTGCTTCAGAGGAAAAGGTTGAGGTTTAGCAACAGCCTGGAAAGGCCAAAGACTCTGAAGGAGGCAGGAGCATCTCAGACTATGTGGTCACTCGCTCAGGAAGCCCCAACCCCAGCCCTTCCCCCAGCCTCCTCGGTCACGCTACAAGCACATCTGGGGCACAGCTGGAGCTGCCAGCTCAGTGAACACAACACCCCCAAAGCCTCCATCTAGGCAAGCCCCCAAGTTTCTGGGTAATTATTTCCTTAACTTTTTAATTAAATGTTTACCCTTCTTCCAGTGTCAAGGGGATGACTAAAATCCGGGCACACCCACTTACCCCAATGTAAGGTTGAGATATTTAACAGAAAATGCTGTACAGCCCAAATATTCCATGGTAAATCCAATTAAAAGTGCACACACAGACACAGAATTGTGGGCAGTCTTGCATGTCGGGCCCAGGGGGGCATATGCAGCATTATCATTCATGAGGGCAGAACTGAATGCCTCTGTTTGCTTTGTCCTTTCCAGCGGACAGTCTCCTCTGTTGGCCCCAGCCCATCCCCTGCAAATCTGCTCTGCAACCCACTGCAGCGTCCAAGAGTTGGTGCTCCAGGATCTCTCCATGGGCTGCCCACCTGGCTTCTCTCTCACTTGCAGTTCCCCCAGCAATGAGCCTTTCCAGGGTAAGGTGCAGCTTCCAGGGTAAGCAGGAAGCTTAACCTATTTGGGGGAAGCTTCCATCTTTCTCTCTCTTCTCTTCATCCTTTCTTCTCTTAGCAGAATGACTTCCTGTGTCCACTTGGTGCTCAACCTTCTCCCCACTTGTGCAGTATGGTCTATCCCTGGGCTATACCTAACCTTGCCCATTGGCCAAACAATGATGTAACCCAATTTATAAAGTCACACAAGGTCCAGACTTCCTTTTCAAATATTCCCTCTGTTCTCCACTGCTAGTCGTAGGTTGCTGCATAGTGCCCTATGGCACTGGACACCTGTAGGTGGTGTGCGGGTCCTCATTCATTGCAGCAGGGCATCATACCACAATTGAGCTCAGGTTCCTCTGCGAGGGGGCTGCCTGACCTTCCATCCTCCACTCAAGAAGGAACTGTTCTTTTTTTTTTTTTTTAAAGATTTTATTTATTTATTTTTTCCCCCCAAAGCCCCAGTAGATAGTTGTATGTCATAGCTGCACATCCTTCTAGTTGCTGTACGTGGGACGCGGCCTCAGCCTGGCCGGAGAAGCGGTGCGCCGGTGCGCACCCGGGATCCGAACCCGGGCCGCCAGCAGCGGAGCATGCGCACTTAACCGCTAAGCCACGGGGCCGGCCCAAGAAGGAACTGTTCTTGATGGCCGTCTTAGGTCTGTTGTCCAGGGGTTCAAGTTCAGGTCTGGTGGGAGTCTGATGGCAATCTAGGTCATCTAGGTCAACTGCTCTGGGACCCCACCCCTTTCGCCCATCAGTTACTCTTCTTTACGTGATAAAGAGCCACAGCATGTGCTTGGTCCCCCAAGTCATCAAATGTGACAGATCTTGGACCTTTCCCCACCACACCCCCATGACAGATGATGGTCACAGGCTGACCCTACCCCTACCCCCACATGAGCTGTGACACAGACAAGGCCCTGGCACACTCAACTCCCAGCCCACAGGCCAGATTGCCCCCTCCCTCTTCCATTCAGCAAGAGGCTTGCAATGCAGTGAGTGAACGTCACGATCTACAGATGACGATGGATCTGCTCTAATTTATGAGAAGCTTCACCATTACTGGCAACCCTTGTTGAGCACCTTACACCACGACACGTCACAATCCTGTGCCTAGGCAGGCTGCTCCCAGGGCTCGCTAACAGACTGCCTCCAGGGTTGCTCTCCTCCCCAGCCACAACTGGGGATTTCTTATGAGTCAGGGCAGGAGCTGACAGTGAACTTTTCTGGGGTGACCTCCCTTGTGCCCAGAAGACGTCTCCTCATTTGGTCTGGATTCCTGCTCTGAGCCGCCGCCTGTCTGTAGCTGGAGTTGGAGCCTCCCTTCCCAGAGCTGGATCCTCTGGCCCCTTCTCCACCTTTCTTCTCATGAGTCTTGTCCCCTGGTATCCCAGGAAAACGTGTGATGATAGTGGACTGTCCACAATTACCAGCAGATCCACAGACAGGGCAATGCGGTCTGTGCTGCCACCTTCTCTCCATCATTCTCTCCCCCTTTCGAGACAGTCCACGGCTGTAGACTTAACAGATGTTTGGCAGGACTGATGTTTGTTGATAGAGAGCTTTAAATCAGCATCTTCCAACCAGTCGAGCGTTTTCAGCAGTCTTGCCTCACGTTCTTCCCAAAGGAGTGAGGTAATCCCAAGTGCATGGGCTCTGGGGGCGTGCAGGGACACCAGGGTCACTGGGGCCGCTCACAGAAGAGTCACTAGTGAGTGAGTGCTCATATGTGCCAGGCCTTTGCACTCCTTATCTCACTGGAGCTTTAAGCACCATTATCCTCCCGAGAATGGGGAAACTGAGGCTCAGTGATGTGAAGACACTTGACCGAGGCACTATCCTAGGAAGCCAGGATTTCAACCCAGGTCTGTCTGACTCTATAGCCCAAGCTCCTCCCCACTCCCTGAGGAGAGGCTGAGGAGTCACATGTGGCAGAGTCTGCCCTTGGGACTGGGTCCACGTTTGGGGCCAGCACTGTGTGGGCGGCTTCCTGGCATTCTGTTCTCAGAGGCACCACAGTTGTTGGTTTCTGCTGCTACTCACACTGAAGCAGCCTTGTCAGTGTCTGTGAGACTAGATGGCCACAAAATTCTTAGGCCTGGATCTCCTGGGGTGGGGCTACCTCCCAGGTCCCTAGTCCCTTCGCTTCCTGATGGAGTATTGTCCTGGCAGTTTTGCCTGCCTGGCACTTAAGAGCAGCTGCCATTTATCAGCTGCTGACTATGAGACAACTAAGTGCTTTTGCACGCCATTCCTCCCAACTCTGTGAGGGGCACTGTCCTCACTCTGTCTCAGATGAGGAAACTGAGGCTCAAGGAGGTGAAGCCACTTGTCCCACCCCACTGGCCTGTCATTAGGGAGACACAAGTGCCCACAAAGGGAGGCTGGCTTTCCCATGTGAGTAGAGGGCCCATGTCAGTCAAGCTGCTCCAGGTGGGGAAAGTCAGAGCCCTCTCTCCCTGGAGCCTGGGGGAGTGACCCTGGCCTTGAAGGACAGTGCAATGGTGACTTTTCCCCTAGGCCAGCTCTTAGGGGAATAGAGTCAGGGTTGTGGTGGCCAGGCCTCCCTCCCAAGGTGAGCTCTGCAGGGCTGCAGGAGGGTTGTGACAGGTGGGGCGGCTCCGGCTGGGCCCAGGCAGGCTAGCATCAGCACAGAGGAGCCAGGATCTTCAGCCACTAGAACAGGACAATCTGATCACTTCCCTGATTTGAGATGTGTTATTTGAATGTTCAGGGCCAGAAAATGCAAAATAAACACAGTGGTACCTGGTGGACTCCAGAAATCATGGGATTCCTCCGACTGACATGGGAGCTCCCACTCCAGAACCACAGACACATTTCCCAGCCTCTTGCTGGGAACATGGGGCTGAACAGAATGTATCCCAGGAAGGCCATTTTACTGTCCCTCCCAGCGATGGATCTTGGAAGGTGGCAGGAAGGAGGGCTGCAGCAGGCAATCCTTCTCATGGGAAGTCTGGTCAGGGGAAGATGTAGGCTGGCAACCAAGAATACCTCAGTCCCAAAGAGTGTGCAAGGTGATGATGATGATGGGGGCGGGGGGAGGAGGAGGATGGGATGATGAGGATGATGGGATGATGATGGGGATGATGGGATGATGGGGATGATGAGGATGATGGGATGATGGAGATGATAGGATGATGATGATGAAGGGGATAATGGGCGCTTGGCAATGTGCTAAGCAGTATTTGTTCATTACCTTGTTTAATCATACAACACTGTGAGGCAGGCACTATTCTTATCCCCACCTTATAGATAAGAAATCTGAGGCTTGGAGAGGTGGAGTAACTTGCCCAAGGTCACAACACTAGAAAGAGGAAGAGTGGGTGGTGCTGTTGAGGTAGAAACAGGCAGGGTGCTGCTTAGGCCAACAGCACCATGAGAATTCAGACTACCCAAGGCAGGTCTGAAAGGCATCTTCCCCTCAATAGTTTTCTAAGTACACACATTAGGTGATAGGTATCTTGGGAGTTAAATTCCATAAAGCCCTGAGTCCTTGTTGCTGGACTAGGAGGTTGGGGAGCAGGGAGAAGTATTGGATAATAACTACATTGAGGCCTCAGTAACCTTGTCTTCGCAGAAGTAGGGACCCCCCACCCCCCACTTCTTCTGTCTCAAGTGCAGAGCCCCTGGTAGGAGTGTGCCTGTGGAAGGGTCCAGGTGATGCTCTTCATCAACAGTGTCCACCCGCACCAGCAAATCCTTGATGGGGAGCCAGGGCTTGGTCTTGGCCACTTCCTGATGATTCACCCTCATTTGCAGGCAGGAAGCTGCCACCCTGAGTTCTGCTGGGCCCTGGGAAATCCCTTCCAGCAGTACTTGTTAAAGGACTTTTACTTCCTGTGATTCACTCATTCTTCTCTGGGCAATGTCCCTGATCCCTGAGTGGTCCCTAGGAGCCATATTTGTACTGCATATTTAGCTGAGTGGACAGAACAACACCTGATCCAAGCCAGGTCAATCAGATTTTCTCTCCTGGCAATTAGGAACCAGATTTGAGAGACTGAAAGTCAGGCTCTGTGGGCTGGGTGAAGCTACACACATAAACTTGGGAGCTGTGAGGTGTCCATCTTCCCCTCTGTGGGCTGAGAAGTCTAGAAATCTGGTCTGCAAGGAGAGAGGGGAGTATGGCAGATATACATAGAGAAGGATGGACACAAGATAGAAGGAGAGTCCTACCCACTTTCTAGGACCTGACTCAGAGGGGTTGTAGGTATTGGACAGAGAGGCTGTGAGCAGAGATTTCTCAGCTACCTGTGAAGCTGCCACGGGTAGTAGGCAGGCCTAGCCCTTGTCCAC